ACTGAGCGATCCCCGGACTTCCTTCTCACCACAATTTGCCTTAATCCCTCTCATGTGAACATAGAATCCAGCACAGTCTTCTTTTATCAGTGTGATCCATGTGTGTCTTCATTATTTATTTGTGTGTAGCTTGTACATGTATTTATCACACACGCCGTATTTTTCTCAGAATAGAGCAGAAAGTTAAATTTTTCTATTTTTAATATTGTTTTAAATAGATTTATTTTAAAGTAATAAAAGTCGTAATTTACAAATATTGTTTCCTTTTATTAACCTGAAAACTCTGCACATATTAGTATTAAGGAAGACACGATTGTTACGACGGCCATTTAGGAATTTCATGTTGGGAAAAGCTTTCTTTCCACTTATATTAACACTAAACTCCGGAGTTGTATCTTATAAATACATTCAAGTTCCTTAACTACTAACAACAATGTATCTTATTTGTGTATCACTCGGCTGTAGATCCTCCAATCATCTCTGAATTGGTGCTGACACTGTCCTTCCTCCTGGAGGGGGGCTACTTTTGTTCCACATGGTCCCTGTGTGTATTGTAGAGTAGTCACCGATCCAAGATCACTCCCGGGATGGACTACAATCTCAGGTTTAGTTTCCTCATTTGTAATGAGATTGTAGTCCATCACGGGAGTGATCTTGGAGCGGTGACTACTCTACAACACACACAGGGACCATGAGGAACAAAAGTAGCCCCCCTCCAGAAGGAAGGACAGTGTCTGCACCAATTCAGAGATGATTGGAGGATCTTCAGCCGAGTGATTCAAGTTCACTGATGGAGAGATGAGTCATGTGCTATAGTTGGGGATTGGACTGCTCCATTCTCTGGGTTTAGGGGGGAGAGATGAGTCATGTGCTATAGCTGGGGATTGGACTGATCCATTCTCTGCACTTAGAGGGAGAGATGAGTCATGTGCTATAGCTGCGGATTGGACTGATCCATTCTCTGAAATTAGGGGGGCAGCACATGAGTCATGTGCTATAGCTGGGGATTGGACTGCTCCATTCTCTGGGTTTAGGGGGAGAGATGAGTAATATGCTATAGCTCGGGTTTGGACTGCTCCATTCTCTGCATTTAGAGGGAGAGATGAGTCATGTGCTATAGCTGGGGATTGGACTGCTCCATTCTCTGGGTTTAGGGGGGAGAGATGAGTCATGTGCTATAGCTGGGGATTGGACTGCTCCATTCTCTGCACTTAGGGGGGCAGTACATGAGTCATGTGCTATAGCTGGGGTTTGGACTGCTCCATTATCTGGGTTTAGGGGGGAGAGATGAATCATGTGCTATAGCTGGGGTTTGGACTGCTCCACTCTCTGCAATTAGAGGGAGAGATGAGTCATGTGCTATAGCTGGGGATTGGAATGCTCCATTCTCTGGGTGTAGGGGGAGAGATGAGTCATGTGCTATAGTTGGGGTTTGGACTGCTCCATTCTCTGCACTTAGGGCGGCAGCACATGAGTCATGTGCTATAGCTGGGGATTGAACTGCTCCATTCTCTGGGTTTAGGGGGGAGAGATAAGTCATATGCTATAGCTGGGGTTTGGACTGCTCCATTCTCTGGGTTTAGGGGGGAGAGATGAGTCATGTGCTATAGCTGGGGTTTGGACTGCTCCATTCTTGGGGGGGGGGGGGGGATGTCAAGAGTGCTATTGCTGGTCATTAGACTGCTGCATTCTCTGGGGTTGGGGGAGATATGTCAGGTACTATAGCTGGTGTTTGGACTGCTCCAATCTCTGCACTTAGGGGGAGAGATGAGTCAGTTGCTGTAGTTTGGTGGTCGGACTGTTCCATTCTTTAAGATTATTGGGGGAGATGATCTTTGTTCCCCTTTCTGGGTGATTCGGGGTGTGTTTTTCCGGTCCATAACACTCCTCACCTGAAGCTTCTACAAGGACCCATCCATTCCGCTGCAGATTCTTGGCTTGTTATTGGTCCATTCTTTCCATGTGATGTCCCCAGAGGGACAGTTCAATGTCGGTTAGGTGCTGTTGTTTGTGACGACGTGTGAACCCCGAGTCTGAATACACAGGATGTGTAGTTAGCTTTCCCACCTGAGCCGGTTTTATCTTTAAAAATGTGGAACCCGAGCTACAGAGCGTGAACATGTCCGGTGGGAACACATGTAAAGGCAGTGCTGGGCTTGCTTGTTGGAAAGCCCAGCATCCTCAGAGTGTTCCGGAGGTATGGTGTATTAAAGGATTTTAGCTCATATAAAAAAAAAATGCAAAACGTTCAACAAAAAACCTTCCAGTTTCCTTTCAGCCCGTATAGTGGGTACAATATCAATCGTCATGGGGCTCCCGCGCACAGTCCGTCAACAGAGAAGGTTGTTTATAATGGGGGACAGGCCGACCCCTATGGGGATCACATGATGTATCCTTCTTCCTCCCGGGATGTAGTACTATGTGACTGCTAGGTCTAAGCACTGACATGTGGGGGCGGGGTGGACAGGGTGGTGGGTAAGTCTCCGAGAGTCTCATGTACGTTGTTGGCTCCCCATCTAGAATGCCGCCGCTCCCCATCTAGAATGCCGCCACTCCCCATGCGATCGTGGATCTGCTCCGCCGCCACCGCCGTGCTCACTTAGAACATGGCCACGGTCCACATTGGTCATCTCAGTCAGCCGGACTTGATCACACGACGCAGGCAATTCATAAACAACCGGGTAATATGCCGACATCATCAAGTGATTGGACACTGGCCAGACCTGTGACCTCATATAACCCCTCCCACTGCAGGAAATCATCCTTTTTTTTTAAGTAATAGAGTCCCATGAGGCATTGCAAGACTGACAGCCACAGGCATGGCAGGATTTGTAGTTTCACCACAGCTGGAGGGACAAAATTTAGCTACGCCAAAGGTAAGTGCATCCATTGCAAGCCATAGCCCAGCGCAGGCCCACTCCTCCTTAGTCGTTGGTTGCTAGGACAACCGGCGCCCTAGCAACCAAAGATGTCAAGTGTCCACCTCCCCTGCAGTCACTGGTTGCTAGGACCGATCCTAGCAACCAGTGACGTCAAATGTGTGTCGTCCCCCACCCCCCCGGCATTACAGGAGGGCAGAAGAGTATCATCTTCCGTCCTCTCCTGCCATCTCCGGCCTAAAAAAGTAGAAAAATAAGGTATGTGGGGGCAATAATATAAAGGGGGACAAACAATGTAAGCCGAACAGCCGGCTCTTTGCTGATTGGCTGGAGAAGCCGGCCAAACAGCTTCCTGATTGCAGCCTTGTGCGCTACAGTGATGATAATTTGAGTAACTTCGGTTCCTTCCTAATGGAAGGGGGAGGATAAATGTAATGATGAGGCCCCCCCCCCCCCCACCCCCAGGAAAGCCATCCTTCTCTAGGGACAGGTAAAGGGGTGTTTTGGATTGGACAGCTTACCAGTCGTTACCTGTACCCCAAAAACCTAAGCAGAGTCTACTAGCAATGCCTCTTATATTTGAAAGCAGAGGTAATAGTGGACTAAGATTTCCTGCGAGCCGGCTCGATGCTGATTGCCCGGGAAGACGGCTTTCCACCCAATCAGGGAGGCGGGTCATTACTCGCCGCCCAGCTTCCTGAGTGGTCGGGAAGCTGGCTCGATGCTGATTGCCCGGGAAGACAGCTTCCCACCCAATCAGGGAGGCGAGTCATTACTCGCCGCCCAGCTTCCTGAGTGGTCGGGAAGCTGGCTCGATGCTGATTGCCCGGGAAGACAGCTTCCCACCCAATCAGGGAGGCGAGTCATTACTCGCCGCCCAGCTTCCTGAGTGGTCGGGAAGCTGGCTCGATGGTGATTGGCTGGGAAGACGGCTTTCCACCCAATCAGGGAGGCGGGTCATTACTTGCCGCCCAGCTTCCTGAGTGGTCGGGAAGCTGGCTCGATGCTGATTGCCCGGGAAGACAGCTTCCCACCCAATCAGGGAGGCGAGTCATTACTCGCCGCCCAGCTTCCTGAGTGGTCGGGAAGCTGGCTCGATGGTGATTGGCTGGGAAGACGGCTTTCCACCCAATCAGGGAGGCGGGTCATTACTTGCCGCCCAGCTTCCTGAGTGGTCGGGAAGCTGGCTCGATGCTGATTGCCCGGGAAGACAGCTTCCCACCCAATCAGGGAGGCGAGTCATTACTCGCCGCCCAGCTTCCTGAGTGGTCGGGAAGCTGGCTCGATGGTGATTGGCTGGGAAGACGGCTTTCCACCCAATCAGGGAGGCGGGTCATTACTTGCCGCCCAGCTTCCTGAGTGGTCGGGAAGCTGGCTCGATGCTGATTGCCCGGGAAGACAGCTTCCCACCCAATCAGGGAGGCGAGTCATTACTCGCCGCCCAGCTTCCTGAGTGGTCGGGAAGCTGGCTCGATGGTGATTGGCTGGGAAGACGGCTTTCCACCCAATCAGGGAGGCGGGTCATTACTTGCCGCCCAGCTTCCTGAGTGGTCGGGAAGCTGGCTCGATGCTGATTGCCCGGGAAGACAGCTTCCCACCCAATCAGGGAGGCGAGTCATTACTCGCCGCCCAGCTTCCTGAGTGGTCGGGAAGCTGGCTCGATGGTGATTGGCTGGGAAGACGGCTTTCCACCCAATCAGGGAGGCGGGTCATTACTCGCCGCCCAGCTTCCTGAGTGGTCGGGAAGCTGGCTCGATGGTGATTGGCTGGGAAGCCAAACAACATGGAGCCAGCTTCCCGGGCAATCAGGATGCCGGACGGCATGTCATTACCCGCCGCCCGTCTTCCTGATATCGATGCATCCCTATACATAACGCACACCTGCAGTATGCCGCGCGGTGTTTTAGAACACAGAGATTGAAGCTGCTCACACTCACCGGTAGTTTTATTAGAAAATAAAGATTTAGAGATTCCCTTGTAATAAGCGCGGTTTGTGTTGCTGGATAACGTCCACCTGGATAATGACAGAGGAGGTCTGGCTCGGATTGGTTGCTCTGGAATTATTAGACCGTTGGGACATCGGACACAATCATGAGGAAGGATCAGGAGTCCTAGAGTAAGTTTGGATTCTCCCAGGAATGTCATGTGGTCCAGGTCCACCCCCAGCCAGATCCCAGTTTCGGTTCTTGTATCACCTACAGGGCCATAGCGTTGTTCAGCTCCTTCTCCAGCACCTGGGTGGCCTGGTGGTTGAGGAACAGTAGATGTCCCTGTGGGATGAACTTGTCCAGACTCATCAGGATCTTGTCCGCCCGGAGGATGACATTGGTGCTGTTGGTCAGGAGCTTCAGGTTGTCCACCAGATACTTCACCAGCATCCTGAGCGTGCTCTGAGCCAAGGTCAGGTTATCCAGCGAGTCACAGATCAATGAGAAGCCCAGAGAGAAGGCCCCCATCCAGAGGACAGTCACTTCCTGAGGGAAGGGATCCCCCACTCCCAGGCCATATATCCCAACGTCGTCCTCATGGAGGAACACCGGCTCTTCTTGTGGGTGCATCACAAAGTCGCTGGCTGGCCGACCGGACGCCTGACGCCTCAGAAGACACATCGCCTCCGACTGCCTGCAAGAGAGAAGACTCTGGATTTTACGGGTCCTCCATAACAGGCCAAAGCAAGCATCTTCCCTCCTTCCTTCCTCATCGATGGACCTTCCCCCAAGACCCTCCTCATAGGCAGGGCAGGATTTCCCTCAGGGCAGCAGGGAGCAGAGGGGCGGCAGGGGGGTAGAATCTCTCTTTGGGTAAGCAGGGCTAAATGTAGAGCGGGGAAGCAGCTTGTTCGTTTACAAGTGATCTCGGCGATGTGTGCAGGTCCGTCCTCCTCCGGCCGGCATGCCCC